TTTTTTATATGTTTTATATGTTTTTTAATGTATTTAACGTTCTAATGGTTTTATATATGTATGTGCATTTATGTGAGACCAATTTAACCTAAGTGTACATGTAAGTCATGCGATAAAAAATAAGTTTAAAAACACGTGATTGTGTTTGTTTTCAAAACAGAACATATTTTTGTTTACCAATCTTTAATTTTTTTTGGAACAAAAAAACTCATAATTTCTATTTTAAATAATCTTGTTTTCCTCTGTTTTTTTGTTGATATTTATAATAAAGAATCGCCCCTGATGATGCTAAGGTAGTTAGCGAAACGTTGGGCAAAGAAGTGGAAAAAAAGTGTTTTTCTTGCACATGGAGAAGTAGATCGACCAGCCTATTCTTGTTTTTGTTTTTTGTTAATTGTCCTTTTAATAAGTATACGTTCGGGTTTCCTTTCTTTCACTGCGCCAGTTAAACAGTTGAATGAATGCAATCCAAGCTTAACAGTTTGAGATCTTTTCATAACATGAATCTAAAGACTGCAAAAATTCAACAAACATTGAAAAATAATTTATATTCAGATACTGCTGAGTAATATTAAAAAAATTACATTCAACAATTTTAATTGAGTTAGAGTCCGTTTTTAATGAAAAACTTATTGTGGAAAAGCAAAAATAATTTGAAAAAATGGCAGAAGTGGTAGCTATTTCGGAAATCATCACATATCCTCTTCAGACTTCTTTCAGTAGGATTCGAATCGACGATCCCACTTACTTAGCCAGTTGCCTACGCACTGTGCTTAGTTCGTCTTATGAATTCTTGTTGCTTGTTCCACTATTTAATTTGTTAAACCAACTACAAATAAGCGCAGCTATTCCAGTGCTATTTAAACTTGATCATGTGGTTGTTGGTTTTGTCGGTTTTTGTTAATAATTTTATTATTACAGTGTTTAATTTTTAGGTGTGCTCATCCTTAAGTTAGTTGTTTTTTTATTGAGCTTGAGGCCGTGTTTAATAAAAAACTTATTGTGGAAAAGCAAGAATAATTTGAAAAAATGGTAGAAGTGATAGCTATTTCAGAAATCACCATATTTCCTCATCAGACTTCTTTCAATAGGATTCGAACCGACGATCCCACTGACTCAGCCAGTTGCCTACGCACTCGCTAAGTTCGCCTTGTGAATTCTTGTTGCTTTTTTCCACTATTTCATTTTGTTAAGCAAACTACAATCAAGTGCAGCTATTCCAGTGCTATTTAAACTTGATCATGTGGTTATTGGTTTTGTTGGTTTTCGTTAATAATTCTATTAATAGAATGTTTAACTTTTAGGCGTGCTGGACAAATAACGTAAGGACTGAGTCAGTGGGATCGTCGGTTCGTACTATTTAAACTTGATCATGTGGTTCATCATGTGATCATGTGTCAGTGGGATCGTCGGTTCGAATCCTACTGAAAGAAGTCTGATGAGGAAATGTGGTGATTTCCGAAAGAGCTATCACTTCCACCACTTTTTCAAATTATTATTGCTTTTCCGCAATAAGTTTTTCATTAAAAACGGCCTCAAGCTCAATTAAAATTGTTGAATATAATTGTTATAAGCCATAAAATAACAAGAAACAAATAACATAAGGACGAGCACACCTAAAAGTTAAACATTCTAATAATGGAATTATTAACAAAAACCAACAAAACCAACAACCACATGATCAAGTTTAAATAGCACCGGAATAGCTGCGCTTAATTCCAGTTGGCTTAACAAATGAAATAGTGGAAAAGGCAACCAGAATTCAC